TCCCTAAACAACCATTACATAGATAGGGGGGGGGAACGTTCTGCATTGGTATCTTTGATGCTGATACTTTCTACTTAACTGTTCTGGGAGTGTCTCAGGAAACATTAAAAGTTCCTTTTAAGAAAAAAAAATATGTAACTCATTCCAAAGCCCCTCCCTCCCCCAATTACTTTACTGCTGTCATCTTTATAAGCATTTTGGTAACTTGGTGCATTGGCTGTGTATATCTGGCCAATAACTCACTTTAAGAGTTCTTAGGAGCCATATGCTCCCCCGGAGTTCTGCTCTGCTTCTGCATTTTTCTTTGCCTTTTTTTCTGAAATGGAATGCCTAAAAAATTTGAGCCAATGGACTAAATTTTTGGAGGGCTGGGGAGACAGACTCCTCAAAATGCTTCAGGAAAAGACCTTTAGCCCTTCCACATCAATCATGGGGGAAAAGTTACATGTAAGCATTACTCTTTATGTCTGGGAAAGTAATAGCACTGCCAGTTTTTTTTAAAAGGAACATTGTTAGGCCAGTATTTTCCCCCCAGAATGTGTTACAATGTGTGGTGTAATGCTGCTTTTTCAGCTGTTGTTGTAGTTGCTGTTACTACTGCTCCACTTACTATTATTGATCCATGTGCTGCGCCTTCCTCAACAGCAAGAATGACATGGGCTTGAGGTAGAAGCTTCTAACTTTCCAGAAATACCATCCTATGGAAAACATTTAAAATCAGCACAACTTCATCCCAACAGTCTGTCCTCTAATGCTTATTGATGTATAAGAACTTTTAGACATAATTTGTTTTAACTGTGCAAACACAGAGGAATAAAGATACTCACTGCTGCAGGTCTTATTGAATTTGGGATTCTCCTGAGGGGATCCTTTCAGCCGGCACTGGAATCGGTGCTGCCAAAATTCTTGAAACCATGGGTTTCGGTGATTGGTGTCTGGCTGAAGCTGCAGGTAATAATCATCGAACCACTTCACGTCGGGAGACTGGAGCTTGATTGTGATCCCACCAGCGGCTTCACGCTGGTAGCCGTCTGTCACGTCATACCTGTCTGCCCAGCCATCACTGAAAAGAGGAAATAAAAAGGGAAACTCTGGGTGAGAACATGGGTGCTAAGGACCACTAAAGTGAGTTATCGGCAGGTTCCTAACTACCGTATTTTTCGCACCATAAGACGCACTTCCCCCCACAAAACGGGGGTGGAAAGTCTGTGCGTCTTATGGAGCGAAGAAAACAGATTATATTTTCCTGTTTTCTTCTCCTAAAAAATTGATGCGTCTTATGGAAAGGTGTGTCTTATGGAGCGAAAAATATGGTAATTTAGTTGTCTTTCTTTTTACACTTACATGTATGACAAGATCTGGGGTTTCCTTTGGCTTCCACCCACTCTGTCACCCTTCTGGGAGTAACCAGAGCTCTGGAAAATTTCTTTTTTGAGTACAATTCCCAGTATCCCTCAACTAGCATGGCCTTGTTGCCTGTAAATTCTAGGAGTTATAGCTCCCCAAAAGAAGGTTTTCCAACCTCTTGATCCTCATCCAGAGAAGCTGCCTCATTCTGACACAGATGACCAATCACAAAACAAATCAAACTATTTGGCAAACCATGGGAGGTGTGAAAAACTCCTGGTGTGACAGATTTCTTTCAACACTAAAAGAATTCTCTCTTCTAATGGTGTGCCATTACCTATAGTCTGTATTTCGAATGTAAGACCCATAATGCCAAATCTGAGAGTTCTTCAGACACAGTTCCCCAAATGAGGACACCAAAGGATAACACCTTCTGGGCAAAACTCCCAGCTAAAACAGCATTTCCTCAGAAATCGACTTGGACCAGGGATAAGCCATCTGGCCAAAGAAAGACAGAAGACCTTAGTTGAACAAGAGTGCTGCCAGGAGCTGTCCGTGGTGCTACAATTCCAGCACTCAAGCAGCTAAAGCATACTCGGGTTGATCATCAGTAGGTTCATGCAAGTAGTCCAGGAGAGCAAGGGTTTCCTAGATGTGGGAGCATGGCACTCGGGATAATCTTGTAACACACAGATCTGCTATTGCATCCACAGATATCATATACTTTTCAATATAGCTGTTTGACAAGACAGCTGAAGATAGATCAAAAACTGTTTGCAAGGTTCCATATTTTGGGTGAGGTTGTGCTCCCTTTTAAAAATTAGGTTTGCAGCTTGAATGTATTGCTTGATGTAGCTTTGTCATTTTAAGTGTAGGGGTTCATAGTGTCCAAGAGAAATTTCTCCCAACTCATACTGAACGACACATCATGTAATTGGATAGTCCAGTGTTTATAAGGTAGACTGTGGTTCTTGAAGCAATACCCCATTTTTCCCTGTAAATTCCAGTCTGAAAATGTTTGCATGATCTTTTCTGATTGTTATGCAAAAGCCAATAAAATTATCCCCTATCCCCAGAACCCAGGTTGGTGGAAAATGCAGCCAGAACCTGTGCCCAGGTTATGAAGGATCAAGGCAGGACTACCTTATGTCATACATATGCAAGACATTGATGATTAAGGTGACCATGAGGATGAGGATGACTGTAATAATGGAGCTGATGAATGACGACCGTGATGAAGATGACTATCTATTGGTTTCATTCTGTTACGTCAATTGGTCCTTCTGGATAACACTGTAGTACAAAAAACAAAACAAAACAATATTTAACAACAAGTTGTGTGCAACTGTGTAATTTAAACAACATGCTAACAGATCATTCATGGGGTGATGCTTGAAAGACATGGATTCTTCTTGTAATAAAATGTGGAGAAGCAGAAGCTGTTTCACTGGAAATCCTTGCTGTCTTACCCACACCCAGCACACCTCTGGCTTCCTCCTCACCAAGGGTGGAGATTCAGAAGCTGAGTTCCTTTTCTGGTGACCTCCTAGCTATAATATAGCAGAGGAAGGGAACGTGTGGAGAGAAGGAAAATAAAATAAAATGAATGAATGAATGAATGAATGAATGAATGAATGAATGAATGAATGAATGAGTGAGTGAGTGAGTGAGTGAGTGAGTGAGTGAGTGAGTGAGTGAGTGAGTGAGTGAGTGAGTGAGTGAGTGAGTGAGTGAGTGAGTGAGTGAGTGAGTGAGTGAGTGAGTGAGTGAGTGAGTGAGTGAGTGAGTGAGTGAGTGAGTGAGTGAGTGAGTGAGTGAGTGAGTGAGTGAGTGAGTGAGTGAGTGAGTGAGTGAGTGAGTGAGTGAGTGAGTGAGTGAGTGAGTGAGTGAGTGAGTGAGTGAGTGAGTGAGTGAGTGAGTGAGTGAGTGAGTGAGTGAGTGAGTGAGTGAGTGAGTGAGTGAGTGAGTGAGTGAGTGAGTGAGTGAGTGAGTGAGTGAGTGAGTGAGTGAGTGAGTGAGTGAGTGAGTGAGTGAGTGAGTGAGTGAGTGAGTGAGTGAGTGAGTGAGTGAGTGAGTGAGTGAGTGAGTGAGTGAGTGAGTGAGTGAGTGAGTGAGTGAGTGAGTGAGTGAGTGAGTGAGTGAGTGAGTGAGTGAGTGAGTGAGTGAGTGAGTGAGTGAGTGAGTGAGTGAGTGAGTGAGTGAGTGAGTGAGTGAGTGAGTGAGTGAGTGAGTGAGTGAGTGAGTGAGTGAGTGAGTGAGTGAGTGAGTGAGTGAGTGAGTGAGTGAGTGAGTGAGTGAGTGAGTGAGTGAGTGAGTGAGTGAGTGAGTGAGTGAGTGAGTGAGTGAGTGAGTGAGTGAGTGAGTGAGTGAGTGAAGAATAGATCTAACTTGATGCTTAGTGTATAATCTACCAATAAGAACCAGGAAAGGAATGCAACTGGGGCAGAATCCTTGTCTCAGAGTCTCACAAGAGTTGGTTTTAGGCACAAAACAACTTGGGTCAAAGCCATTTAAAAGTCTCTATTCCCCCACCCCCACTCCAGCTTGCCCAAGCTTTGAGGTATCCAAGGGAGGTCATCTCACTGCCACTGCTGGCAGAGACACAATGGATGGCAACTTTGTCAGTAGCCACTTTTAAGTTCCGAAGCTCCTCTGCCTGAGGAGGAGGAGACGATGACGGCAACGGGCTTTGGACAGTTCAGCACTGACGGAGGATGGGGGTGTTGTTTATGACTTATAATAATCATGTGCTGTCAAGTCAGTTCTGATTTATGGTCCTCCTCTTCAGGTTTTTCCAGGTAGAGAATACTCAGAAGTGGTTTTTCATTCCTTTCTCCTGGAAGTGTCTCAGATTGTGTCGTTTTTGCCCAAGGCCACCCAGGCTGGCTTTACTTGCAAGAGGCACCGTGGGGAGTGCATCTCTCAATCTCTGGCTCTCCAGCTAGATACCTAAACCACCAAGCTATCCAGCCAGCTTTTATTATGGCTTTGTGGACATGTTTTAAATTATTCTGTTACTTTAGCCAACTTTGCACCGTTGTCCATGTTCTGCCTCTAACAGAAACCTGCTTTTACTTAATATTGCTGTGACCTATCTCAGCTCTGTTTTCAGGGAGAAGAAGTGGACACAGAGTGACAGGATGGAATCAAAACAGAAGAGAACGTTTAGAAACGGAGGGCTCATATCTCCCTCTTTTTCTTACATGGAGTTACATAGAATCATAAAGGCAGCGAATGGGGGACAAGCTGATTAGCTACATTTCTGGTCTGTATTATTGAGCAGGGCCAAAATTGTGGTTTTAAATATACCTCTCACCACAGTTACAATAATTGTGTCTGCAAGGAATAGCAAGCACTGTGCTCTCATTCTTCTCAATTGTCTGCACTTTGCTTTGCAATGTCTGTTGAAATATCTTGGCAAACAAAGTTCACCACAAAAGTGGGAAATGGGTTGCTAGACTATTATTACCTCTGAAACCAAATCAAGCTCGGATCAAGGCAACTGTGCGGTTTGTGGGCATTTCCCCCACGGCACACATTCCAATATGTAAAAAGGGAAAACAGAGGTGAGAAACAATTGTATATACCCCCCAATAGCACCCCAACCATAAACAATGTTTGTTGCTTATGTATCTGCAAATGCCTAAGAATTCTCCATTAACAATGGGGGGGGGGAAGAGAAGCTCTTTCCATGGCATCGCAGGATAATTAAAACAGTGGACGTTTTAGGAAGCCAATGGTAACACAGAATGGATTGTATAGATCTGTCATAGAATTACAGAGCTGTGGACCAGGGATGGATTGCAAGGATCATCAACCCCCTACCGATGCAGGAAACACATTGCTAGAGCACCCACACCTGACAGATAGCCAACCAAGGTGTGCTTAGTAGGGATGTAGCCAGGTCTTTGGAGTCCAAGACCCAAGTCTAAGCTCCTATTAAAAATAAGCTTCCCCAGAAGAAAGGGGAGTGGGGTCGGTGGGTTCTGAGTTGCAAGTCAAGTTCAAATCATTGAAAAAAAAACAGTCTGTGTCCAAGTCAAGTCCAACTTGAGTCCAACTTGACAGCGAGCCCATGACTTGAGTCCCCATTCCTGCTGCTTAGTCATCACCAAGAAGAGGAGGCTCACCACTTTCTACAATACTCCATGCCACTGTTGAACAACTCATGCCATCAGTAAGTTCTTCCTAATATTTAGTCAGAATCTCCTTTCTTCCGATTTTAATCTGGGACCTACCACTTGGAGAAACAGAAAATAAGCTTGCTCCACCTTGGCTTCATTATCTTCCATTGAAAGAGCCCTTCACGTCTCGAAGACGGTTATCAAATCAACTCTCAGATTAATTTTCTCCAGGCTAAACATATATACGCATACTAAATAATTCATTTTAAATATGGTGTTAGAGAAGAGCTTTGTGGATACCCTGGACTGCCAGAAAGATAAGCAAGTGGGTCCTACAGCAATCAAGCTTAAACTATCTCTGGAGGCAAAAAAAAAGGTTAACGCTGATGCTGTCTTACTTTGGCCACATCATGAGAAAACAGGATTCTCTAGAAAAGATGGGAAAGGTGAAATGCAACACGAAAAGAGGAAGAGGAAGGTCCATGGGGTCACGAAGAGTCAGACATGACTAAACAACAACAACAAATACGAGATGGTACGATTCCCTAGGAAACACAGGCTTCAGTTTACAAGAGATGAGCAGGGCTGTTAA